AAAAAAAATAACAAAATTTTAAAATTCATACAATAAGCTTTCTGAAAATATATAGTTTTGTGGACAAGGTCATCTTGGTTTCCTAATTAACTAATTAAAATACCTGTCAGATAAACTGCATCTCTACCTTAATTATCTTTATGAAACACTCTAATTTTTGGCTCCTATTTGTGCAAAAAAGAAGTATACTTGACAAACCAAAACATACATTGGTGCATATCTGAAATTATCTGTCATATGGCGAATACATTATTATTAACCACATATCTAACAGTTTTTATTGAAAAAAAATATGCAAAGTTGTCTGAAGACAACATCAAAACTTTGAATTGAGTGCATCAATCCATCAGATTTTGAAAAACCCATTATATTTTGCATGGGATATCCAAAATACCCAATGGGCTGTAGTACATGTATGTGGAAAAGGCATGATGACAATGTGTTCGCATATGTTACATACAGATGGTGAAAAGACAGTACACATGATGGTCAGAGTGTTCTGATCACGACATGCATGCATATGCTAATTTGCATATATTAATGAATTATTACAGTGATGTAAACTTATTTACTGTTCCTCTGATTTAAATTCAATACTAATCTTGAATGTTAGTATGCCTGATGGTCTTATAGTTCTTGCGGAATATAGTGATAGTAGTTATAAGCGTCCCTCTGTAATTCAAGTGCAGCATACAGTCACTGGGGTAGCAGTCAATTTGCTTTCATCATTCTGCAGAATTGCTATTTGCGTTACAAGCTCCACTTTCACATTGATGGAGCATTTCAGCCATTTATAATAACTATATGTTTATTTTTAGATGCTGCAAACAGTATTGAATATCATAATGTTTGAAGATTGTAGAAACCAATGGTCAATGTCAAGACCACTACTTGGCCTCATTCTACTTAATGAGGAAGTATGTTTATCTGTCTATTTTATTTATAGTAAATCAATGAATTTTATGTTTTTCATACTGTATCATGTTGTTTTCTCTGTTACATGTATCATGTTTGTTTTCTCTGTTACATGTATCATGTTGTTTTCTCTGTTACATCTATAATGTTTGTTTTCTTTGTTACATGTACCATGCTCGTTTCCTTTGTTACTTGTATCATGCTCGTTTTCTTTACTTGTATCATGTTGTTTTCTCTGTTACATGTATCATGTTTGTTTTCTCTCTTACATCTATAATGTTTGTTTTCTTTGTTACATGTATCATGTTTGTTTTCTCTTTTACATCTATAATGTTTGTTTTCTTTGTTACATGTACCATGCTCGTTTCCTTTGTTACTTGTATCATGCTTGTTTTCTTTACTTGTATCATGTTGTTTTCTTTGTTACTTGTATCATGCTCGTTTTCTTTGTTACTTGTATCATGCTCGTTTTCTTTGTTAGTCCCCGTTCCGACGTAGTTCGAAAACGGGGACTTATGTTTTGCCCTGTGTGCGTCCGTGCGTCCGTGATCACCTGTATTTCGAACTTCACTCATACATCACACATTATATGGGACATATGCACATGCATTTATTTCATGATCTGATTAATGATAGCTGAATAGCGGCCATTTTAAGGCCGAAAATGCATCAAAATCGCACATTTTCACCATTCCGGACACGGATCTCAGTTATGCATGGACGGATTTTGTTCAAATTTGGTACATACATTAAACATAATAGGACCTTGATGCACGTCAATTTTTTTTTGGATCGGGTTCGAAATGGCCGACTGGCGGCCATTTTGTTTTAAAGAATTCAGTTCTGGATTCGTTATCTGAG